TATTTTCTATTAATACCTTAACAACTGTTTGATTATTTTATGTTAAACCGTAACTGATAAACCGTGACATATAAAATGAAATGAGGAATTTTTATTTTTTTTTAACTATGTTACATAAAGTCTCCTTTTACTTGCATTTTAATAATTTCTTAATACTTTTATTAAAACTGTTAATAATTATCCCCAGCTAGCACAAAAACATCCCATCTACGTTAATAAGCTGCAATTTTAGGCTCTTTAAGCTCACATGCAATGTACTTTTAATGTAACCCTAATATCCCTGCAACCACCGAATGTCCGCAACGGCAAGACTTTTATAGCACATCTCACAGAAGTTAAAAAGTGAAGTTCGGAAAACATCACACTAGCACTTTTACGTTACTTACCCTGAAAGTTGCTCTGAAACTTTCTATAGATGTTATAATGTGAATTAGTTCTACTGCATTATACAGTGTGTCCACGGATGGACTTAACTATACTTGTGAAAATATTTATTTTAAATTAAAAAAGTAATTATTCATAATTTACTTGTTAAATAAATTCGATTCACATTAAGAAATTATGAAAAATAACTTTTTTAATTTAAAATAAATATTTTTACAAGTATAATTAAGTCCATCCATGGCCACACTATATTGTTCTTTGTGTAATGTAATACGGAGAGGCTGAAATTGAGGTATAGTAAAAACTCAATCGAGACATGGAAATTTCAAATAAAACAAAATATTTATATAAATTTATTATTAAAATGTTCTTGAAATCAAGTAGTAATATCACAAAAGTAGAGGCAGGTATATCACAAATGCAGTAACACATGTACGATAGTAAAAGCCACCTATAAAGCACTGAACGATTGGACAAAATTTGCTTAATAGTAATAATAAGGTATCAATATTGCAAAGGTTCACTAGAAGCTTAAGCAGTGAACGATTCTACATAAGTATATTTATATAAGGTACGTTTCAAGATGGCAATTGTATGATGCAAAAAAAACTAGATCTGTGAATAATAGATGATTGCAACAATGACTTAGGTATATATCATGAGATAGCTGAGGTTCCAGATTGCTTACCTGTACTCACAGATATATATCATCTTTTTAAAATCAAACCTTCTAACTTTTTTTTTGTATAGATATTTATATATTTTTATTTTGTTAGTTTATTATTTATACAAAGGTGAACAAAAATTATTTTATTCTAACTAAATATTGAATAAAAAAGAGATTGACCTACTTGTTTAACTATTATTGAAGGAAATTATATAGAAAGTAAAAAAATATACTCAAGTTTAAATCGTTGCACTTATTTTTAGGTAATTTTGTCTTACTTTGTTGTTTTAAATAAAACCTCTATTTTTTTTTTTAGAATTTCACAAATTTTATGCATAATTATGGATTTCCAAGTTAGTATGAAGATTTTATAAAAAAAACAACTCATGTTTTTTAGCAAGATATTCTGATGTATGCTCGAGGGCATCTTCTGTGATTTTTCTCAAATTTTCTTCTAGTTTGGCACTTGCTTGAATCTGATGTTGTTTTTTTTAATATAGACGTACCATATAGATTCACTTTTTATAAAACTTCATGTCATATAGCTATTCTTCTTTAGACAAGTCTGTAGTATTTATTTTGCTTCTAAAATTCTTAGAATGTTTTCAGGTACAAAGGAAATCTAAAATACAATATTTTTAAAATGTATTTTTAGTTCGATTAAGTATATTATTACCCAGAAGTTTGTTACATTCTTAGTAAAGTGGAATCACATATTGTGGATTTTGTTTCTTGTAAAAGAAGGGCCCCTAAATCTGTGATAAGTTCAACCTCTCCATGCTCCCCTAAAATCACATACCAATAGTGTTATTTTATTTTAGGCCTTTATTTATCATTTACTGTAATTATCTTATGAATAATTATGTATCTAATAACTTAGTGGGTCTTTTGTTGAACTGAAATATTACCTAAAACACACATGTTAGCGACATGCATAGGAATCTCAATTTATATAGCTATGATTCACTTGCAGCCCCTTGCTGAGGCTTTGGCACCTCCAGAAGCCATCATCAGTTATTACCGCATCCTGAACGATCACCAGTTTGATTGCAGTAAGATTTATAACTTCTCAGCCACAATTATTTCTCCAAATTTAGAAGTAGTGGCTCGTTTTGATAAATTCCTAAAATAATTCCTAAGATAAACTTGAAAAATTAAACATGTAAACTCACCTGTGCACCTTCTAGTACTAAAAGGGGGACCATAAGATAAATTGTATCGTATCGTTAATACCATCAACACATTAACAGCTTTAATAACCATTTGTAGGGGATTATAAACCACAGGGTAAATTGTGCATAAGCTAAAAGAGATATTATATCAAATCACAGTTAGATATACTTTTATTAATACCTTCACTCTCCGAATCATTAAATTTTAAGAGCCAGCTAGGGAAAAAGGAATTACTGCCACCACTTACATCCTTAAATAGGCCAGTAACGTGGCAACTTAGTTTTGTATATCTCTTTCATAAGGTATTTCAAGTATTTAGAGGTCCTTATTTTATAATTTCATAAACCAAGTCCTTCTATCTAGCTTCTAACAAAGTTATCAGATATTTCCGGACATTTTTATAATTCTATAAACCAGCTCCAGCTCAGTCTGTCGAAAACTACAAAAATATGATCCAAATATTCCCGGACATTTTGATAAAATTTACAACAGGCATTGTAATCTAAAACGAAGAAAATGGTTCAGAAAATAGTTTTCTATTTTATAGAGGATCCTTACCACTTCTACTCAAATGTTTTTAATAATAATTATAAAAGAAATTCTGCAAATTAAAAAAAACAAACATGACATATGACAAGAAACATTGGCAAGTGACAATTGACATAAACAGTTCTTGTTCTTTTTAGCAAATTACTTTATTACGTTGTGTTAACATAACAGGTAAGTTAACTAGGTAAATAACAAATAGAAGTTTTGCGAGGTTTTGATTTCCCTCAACAACTTCTCATGAACGTTGCATTTACGTTGTATAGTAATGTTATTACGTTCCCTTAATGCAACATCGCCGAAAGTCTTGGCAACGTTATGTGCTAGCTGGGTCCGTTTTATGACAATTAATTTATAACTTACAATTAATTAAAAAAGCAAATTAGAGTTTGAGTTGCATTACCAATAGTCCGGCCCTGGCAGAACGGCCATATTGGAATGACTGTCACCACGACTAAGTGATACCGTTTTGAATGTTTGAAAAAGATGCTCATAGCGTCTCCCTACCTTCTACCTCCATGGTTTTTATTGAAACTGGATTAAAAATGGTTACCCAGATAATTTAGTTACACATCGCCATCTGTATTGAACTGATTTAATTTTTATAGTATTCTCCATTGTGAATCTTTCTTATAATAATAAAGTTAATAAAAATAATTCATAGATGTCCTAGTAGGTACTGTGTTTGGGAATTTTCGTTCATATAGGTACTTAGCTTTGTTTAATTTTAAAAAATTTACCTACTATTAAATGAAAGTGAATGTAGTGTATTAATGTTAATAATGTAAACATTTCCAGTTCATGGTGTCGTTTATGAATAAAACAAAACAAAATTAATTTAAATGTTTTATTTTATTTTAAAAAATCACTTCTTTAGTAAATCTATTTAATAATAAATAAATATTTGCGGCCGATTTGATTTAAGTATAAAAAAATTATCAACTTAAATAATTTAAAAAAAAAAAACTATTTTGAATAGATCTTTCCCGTTATTGATAGTCTCTATAGGTTTGTTCCAACATAAACCAAATCAGTTTGCGTACTGTCGAGATTCTGCGCAGTCTAGAATTTGTGTTCCAACAAACCTTAGACTCGAAACTGTACAAAAACATATTATTCCAACACAACTAAAACTAATCACAAACCGATTTGTGTACTGTCAAATCAGTTCCTGGGTCTGAATAGGAACGAATTGTCAAGACATGCGCAAAGATGCAATAAACTGAACATTTCGTGATTGTAATTATATTATTTGTATCTATTGTCTCTGACAGTTCTGATTTGTATTTGTTAATCGAGTTTAGTCTTCATAGTTTTTGTTTATGATCATTTATTTTATTTTGTGGTTTAATATTGTAATAATGCGTCTGTTGAATTTAAAAAATGTGTACCAACATAATCGAGTTCCGAGTTGAGTCCCAATCCCCGACAAGTACTTGACAAGTTATCAATTACTAGTCATGGACAGCAATAAGTTTTGGACTGGTTTATGTATTGTTCCAAGATCGTTGTTGGAACAAACCTTATTACTCATGCACAAATTTTACTTTGGTTTAAAATCATCAAAATTTGTTGTGTTTCCTACCCTGAGTTCTAATTATAGGTACACATCCTCAAATGTAAGTGCCATTTTTAGGTATGTAAAATGGTAAAATTAGAAATATTTTGTTTATTCCTACTTCTAATAGAAATAGTTCGCTGCGCACAGCGATGGGGCCCTCGACGATGACGTTTTATAAAAAAGTCTGTGTAGAAAATGATGTCATAGAAACGCAAACTTGAAACAATTAGAAATTATTTACATTAAAATTTTGAAATTCGGCCAACAGTACCTTCTTGTTTGGTGACAGGGCATTTCACCGATAGATCAATTGCAGTGCATCTGCGTCAACGCATTTCCATCTTTTACAGGATAAGAGTTAACGATACATTTATAATTTAGCATTGTGCAAATGTGTACCAAAAAAGTTTTACTGGTTCTCCTACTACATAGAAATCGGTGACAGTTGTTTAAAGTAACGTCCTAGCCAACCCAACAGTTTTAAGAGGAGGATTAGAGAGAGCAAAAAGTATTTGGAAAATTACTAGATTTAAAAGTCTCGTGCTTTTTTCGCTATTGAGTAATGCAAAACTGTCGAATAAAAGGAAAGATAATGTGGCTAGGTACCAACTTAAAAATATATGGTAAAAGTACGTTATCACAGAGGAGTTTCACTTTTTACTTTAATTTTTACCATCCAGTTAATACTTTCATTTTTCTTTTAATCCAAGAGTGTTTCTGTAGATCTCTTTCAATAATTTTATCTTCTCTAAACTTTTTCCAATCCTCTTTCAATTTCGGATCTTCTGGAGACCAATTTTCAGTAGAAAACGTATCTTTAAACATCTAAAATAAAATAAATTATATAGTAGGTTAAGTACTGACATAAAAAATATTACACCCATCAGGACCAATTTTATCAAATTCCTGTAGTTACGCAAAATTTACTAGTTGGATTTAGATAGTAACAAACTATCTTATATAGGAAATTGATAAAATGTTTATTAAGATACTTAATACTGTTTAAAGAAGAATATTTTTAATAAAGTCCTAAGTATTAGTTTTTTTTTATGTCAGGGTTTGGACACTTCTAATTCTGTTTAGGCGTCAATACTGTTTCCCATCTCAATTTTAGGAACATTAATTAGTAACCGACCGTAGAGTTAATTATTGATTATCTTAATTAGAAAAAAGTTACCGAACATATACAGTGAAATAATAATATGTCAAATTTTCATAGCTACACCTGATATAAAATGACTCACATTAAAGGTTAGCGCGCATTTGTACGTATCGGACGGAACGGACAGAACGGACGCATCGGACGAATCGTACATTTTTGTAGACATCGCACATTGATGCGGATCGGCTTTCAGGGTAATAGTCCGTCAGATAGTGACAGGTTTAGGTGGCTTATTTTCGCATACAAGCCTCGAAGAGCCACGCAAGCCGTTTTCACCATATGAATAATTAATAGAACTAGACTTCGGAAAACCAAAGGCTTTAATATTGCAAGTGACTAAAGAGTTGAAATAAGGGCGTAATCTTCTAAGGAAAAATCTAGATTTTGCCCTATTTTTTCACACAAGCCCATCAAATTTATGAAAACGTACGTCGTCACTAGTCCGAATAACATATTTTCTTGAATGATTCAAATGTATAAGTGCATTTTGGGGTCGGAAAAATTTTCTGATAAGGAAAATCGAAATTACCATGTATTATCCCCAAGAGCCACTCGTAAATTTTATTTTATTCTACTTAACATCGATGTACTTTTCAACCCTCATCAAGGCTTATATGCGAAAATAAGGCACCTAAATCGGTCACTATCAAGACTGACTGTTTTCTGGTGGCATTTGAAATGAGTATAGTTCTGATGAAGAATTGTTGTTTGAAATTGTATGTGCATTTGAAGATGAAGAACGCAGAAAAAAACGGGTTTGGATACATAATATAATTTTGAATCGGAAGTTTTATTTATACTTTGTTTAGTGATTTAATACATCATGAGGCAAATTTTTTCCAATAACTACTTTTGAATGACGCATGAACAATGTTGTGATCTTTTAAATATCTTACATTTGTCTATAGCCCTCTAAAGACGGACGTCGCTTCCCATAGAGCACACATTATTTTAGAAATGTTTCAGAAATATTTCAAACATTTTCAAGCACAAGTTTCTGAAATATTTCTGAAACATTTTAGTTCAATTTTTTACTGAAAATATTTCTGAAACATGGTATACATGTTACACAAAAGGTTACTAAACAGGTTATGTTGTAAAAGGCCAACAATTAATGAAGAATTTCTAATTTAAAAGAAGAAGATGGGATATGTAGTTATTTTATTTTATCATGTCCCTGGTGTCCCTGTCCATTCACCAGCTAGAAACAAGCCTAGATTCTAAATAATTATAGATTTGAGCTGTTGGTTTTTGATATTCATGCGATTTGAACTTGTTATATGGGCAGCAGAATATGTCTTTAGAAATTAAGGTGAGAACTATATAAATAATGCTTGCTTAGGTGGATCTTCACGTTTTGTTTATATAAAACAATATTAATAAAACTATTGTTAATCAAATAATTTGTATAAATCCTTTTTAATTGCCTATATTTTGTTTCAGATTAGTGTATTTAAAGGAATTGGTAAAAACGAAGCAATTTGCCAGCTTTAGGGCTGTGCCAGTAAAAATAACATCCAAGTTATTTAACGTTTCCAGAATAAAGTATTAAGGAACATCTTAGATACATCCTGGTACTGCCATAATACTAATCATCATAGGAACCTTATAGTGGAGACTGTTGAAAATAAAATACAAAAATTTGCCCGTAGTCACCAAAAATGACTGCTCCAACATGGAAACCTTGAGATTATCCAGCTCCTCAACAATGCCAATATAATAAGAAGACTCAAGAGAACCAGGCCTTTTGAGTTAGTTCAGTGGTTACATTAAAACAGAGTAAAATGTGGTTAAGTGTTGTTAACGGTAGTGTAACTAAATAATTAGACTCTAAAGTACACTATATAGTGAGTAGAATCTTAGTTTATGAAGTTTTTAATCCCTAGATAAGTTAGGTAAAAATAAAATTGCTAACTGATCTTAATGATTAGATTATAATAATCGCAAATGTTTCTTTACTTGGAGCATTTATTAAAAAAAAAACCTTATTGCTTCAAATTAGTGCATTTAAAGAAATTGGTGGAAATGAAACAATTCACTTCTATATTTTATGAAATATTCTTTAAAACATATTTATTTATTTGTTTAAGAATCAATGTTTGAGTTTTGTGTATTTTAAATAAACATGTATATTTTTAAATATCTTTTTTTAGTCTAATAATATATTAAAGTTTATGGTATACACTGAAAAAGATAGCAAGATAAAAAAAATTGATAGTCTCGGACATACTGGTTCTTTATTTATACAACGGCTTCTATCATACTTGGGTAAAAGACATTCTCTTTTTACCGACAATTTTTATTCTAGTCCAACTGTATCGACTTATCTTTAGGACAGAGAAACAAATTCTTATGGTACACTTCGTCCGCACCGATTACATGTGCCAAAGTTAAAAAAAAACTTCAGAAGGGTGACTTAGTTGCTCTGAGTAGTGACAAGTTATTATATGGTGTGATCGTAAAGATGGTACTATGATAACAAAAATGCATCTGAATAGATTTATCACTTCCGAAAAATGAAACCCCATTACTGGTGGACTTACACAAAAGCCAGAAGCAGTACTTCAATACAATAAACATATCGATGCCGGTGATCGCAGTGGGCTGTATGAGAAAAACTGTAACATGGTAAAAGAAGCTTTTTTATCATGTATTGAATCTTACTGTTCTAAATGCCCATACACTTTATTTATGTAAGAACACCTAGTACATGACGTTCCCAAAATTCCATATGCAAGTCATAAAAGGTCTTCTTGTGAGGTAATAAAATTATTTCTTTTTAACATTTTTTCCTGTATAGTATATATTTCAGATTTGCTAATAATTATTCAAAAATGTCAAACCAAGCAGGACGTCCCTTTTCTAAGGATGTTTTTACACGGCTCAGTGGTAGTCATTTTCCTGTTGAAGTTCCATCGACGCAGCAGCGTAAATATGCTGTAAGGCGCTGTACTGTTCGTGCATCCACTACTTTAGGTCAATCAAAAAGACGAGAAATTCGTTACATGTGTAAAACTTGCGCTGTACCTTTATGCATTGTGTCATGTTTTGAAATTTATCACACAAAGCCTGTATACTAAAAGTTTTATACATGTAACGAGTTTCCCATCTATTTTTGTAATGAGTAGATAATGTATTTTTTGTAATGAATAATGTACACATTTTAGTAAATAAATATTTAAAAAATTAATAGTGTGTTAAATATTCACAAAATATTTACACAATACTTGTCGCGTATAAACGTCATTAGGTTATTCACAAGAATAAAAGTAAAAAATTGGCAACACCGCAATTAAATAAAATTGTAAATTAGGTGTCGCGTATCTTAGACATTAGGCATATAGAAGTATGTAATATTAAAGAATTAATTCCGACAGACACACGTGCATAGAAAAAAACAATTTCGTCTTTAGAGAAGCCAAACAAATTAAATATAAAAACTTTCACAAACAAGTTAATTATAGTGTGGTGGGTTAACACACCCTCCACACGTTACATATATGGTAAATACGATTAATCCAATACGATTCTTGCCGCGACCCATCGCGTACTCATTCGAATTTCCGAATTACGTCGTCCGCACGCATGGGATTGACGGATTCTGTTCTCTAAATCCGTATGTCCGATATATCCGTTTGATACGTATAAATTCGCGCTTACCTTAAGTAATTTTTTCTCGATTAGAAGTCAACCGAATCGATATAATTTTTCTCACCTTTTTTATGGAACAATTTGCGTTTTTATTTAAAAAGTATAGAAGCCAACCCAATATTTGTAGGATGACCAAACCAAGAATACTCCACCCCAACACTGAAATATAAATTAGAATCAACCAATATAATCAAAGCATCATTTACAATTACCTGTAAGTCCTGTTGGATAGTATAGACTATAAACTCCATAAACAAGAGGTTTTAAAGTTGATACAAAGTAAATAAAAATTACTAGTAGTAACAGAGGCATCGCTACTCCCCAAGACAGTCTCCAATACAACCCAACTTTCTTCTTCGTCATAAATTCTAAATCGATACAAAGATTTTCAATTCCTGAAACAAATATCAATATTTCGTGTTAATAACTTCCTTTCGGTATCCACAAAAGGTAGAAATCGAGATCAACTCAAGACACAAATTTAATTCAACCTGTAAAATCTTAGCTTATCAGCCATTTTACTGCTTTAGAGTAGATCATTCAGAGATTTATGCTACAAGAAGCTACATGCAATCCTTCAGTTTACCATCCCTACGTCAGCTTATATGTCTACTGTACATCTAATAGTCATTAATACGAAAATATGTGCCAAAGGGCTGGGACTGAAGATCACTTTCAATGCTCTAATTAGTACAGCTCGGAATTAATAGTTAGAATAGTATTGCTTCAATCGCGTGTTCGGCGAGTTCGGCGTATTGCTTTTGACATTTTATGCGTGCTGAATTTTTGTTTGTTAGGTAGTTAGTTATAATAGTTTTTAAAGTATAATAAAGTAAAAATCGTCCAAGAGTCCGAAGCAAAATGAATAAAATAAGCAATCTATTACTGAAACCTTTTTATATGCACTCGCTCGAGGAAAAAATCCAAATTAAGGAACTTGGGAGATCTCTTCCCGATTTTAAAAGAACAAAAACGCAGAAGGCTTCTACTTCTAGTTCGTCAAACTTCAAAGGCCGGATAAGAAAGTTTAACCGGAATTTGTACTTAAAAAATAACTGGATTTGTGATGAAAAAAACGCATTTTTTTGTTTTGTATTTGTTTCGTTCGGGGGCGATTCTTCGTGGACGATGCATGGTGTAACTGATTTGGTACACATTTATGAGAAAATTAAAACATTAAGGCCCATGTAAATAATATTTTTAGTTATTCTTTGCTTGGAAAATCAAATATACTGACTTAATTAAATTCGGCTTATAGACAAAATATTATTACCCACAATAAACATATATTTTAAACATCATTATTAACTGTTTTAGATTTTGTGGTGCATTAGAATTAGCATTACGCGGACATGATGAAATCGAAGAATTAAAAAATAAAGGAGTGTTCCGAGAATTGATAGATTTTAATTCTGAATCAGATGCAGATTTAATGGAACATTTCAGCAAAGCAACAGTATTTAAAGGGACCTCTTAGACCATACAGAACTAACTATTGGATTGCATGAAGAAGTGGCTAAAGATATAAAAAAAAACGAATTATGTAGCTTTAATTGCTGACGAAACTACCGATGTTGCTAACGAATTTCAATTGGTCATTATTCTACGATACATTGCCTCCAGTAAGCCAGATTTTGAAAATTTGTAAATCCTCCCGGACACAATGTCATTTCAATAGCAAAGTTACGACGGAGCGACAGTCATGAGCGGAGGTATGAATGGGGTACCAAAAATAATTAAAGATAAATATTCTTTAGCAAATTATGTTCATTGCTATGCACATCAGATTAACCTTATAATAAGCAGTGCAGGTTCAATTAATGCGTCTGTTCGGATTTTTTTCGCTCATTTAACTGGAATTTGTGCTTTTTTTCTACATCCCCTCAAATAACAAAAGAATTGGATGATATAGTTCATAGACGATTACCACGCTCATCACAAACGAGATGGAATTTCCAATCACGGGGAGTTAATACAGTTTATGAATACCGAAACGAACTTACACACGTTATGGATATTTTAGAGAACAACAAAGATATTAAATTAAATTCTCGATTGAGCAAGCCGGTGCTTATAAACTTAGATTACAGGACAGAGATTTCATATTTTGGTTAACAGTTTAAAGTCATGCCACATGTCGAAATAATTTTTAAGCAACTGCAGACGATTAATACCGACCCCATCAAGGCTAAACAATATCTAAAAAACTTTGAAAATGCAATGCAAAAAATTCGTAATAAAATGGATAAAATTATTGATAAAATAGACTTGGAGCTTTTAGAAACCGAAGATGAAATTGTTCTTCAGAAAAGGTGACGTTACCCTTGTTTCCATCTCTCTTTCAACAAATAGAAAAATAGAAGCCTTGGAAGTTTGCGATTCCATTATGCAACAGATTGGGACACGATTTACTTTCACAGAACATCTGATAGCTACAGCATTTATTCATGAAAGAACATTTTATCGAATACCAAAAGAACTTTTCTGTTCAATTGCTTTCTGATACAGTTAACGTTTTGAAAAAAATCGTCTAAAAACAGAACTGCAAGTACTTTACGAAAGAGAAGAGTTGCAAACCATTTCTGGAGCCATTCCTCTGTTATTATTAGTCTCGCAGGAAGATATGAAGTACACTTTTCAAGAAACCATTAAATTTTTGGAAGTTTTAGTGACAACACCAATGTCAACATCCGAAGCTGAATGATGTTTAAGAGGATAAAAACTTTTTTACGCAACTCAATGAAAGAAGAAAGACTAAGTGCGCTAGAAATGTTATCAGCTGAAAAAGTGTTTCTAAATAACATTGATGACTTTAATAGACGAGTGATTTGCTAATAAAACAGAACGAAGACTAGACTTCAAATATCGTTAAATGTAAAATATTCTTTATTTTACTGTATAGGTTTGGGGGAATGGGACGTTTCAGCGTGGCCATTTCGGCGTAGCCGTTTTGGCGTGGCCGTTTGGACGTCGGCCATTTCGGCGCCGGCCATTTCGACGTTGGCCATTTCGGCGTTAGAAGTTTTGGCAAACTTAACAATATAATTTTTATAAATTTTAAATAAGTGTTATATTTTTTATAATTAGGTTTATTATAATTAAATAATAAAACTGTTTTCGTGTCAAAAGGAAATATCTATATACTATTGCTGTTTGGCAGGTAGGTCTTTCGCTAGAAAATCAAAGGCATAATCTATACGATCGTAGGAACAAATGCCAAAGATATCACCATTTTGCAATTTAGAGACAATTGTGGATCAGCATTGTACTCTCTCGTATGTCCCATAGAAGCCACTTGTTTCCTCATATTTTGGGCCAAGTAAAAAACAACCATTTATAGTGACGCCTGTTCGAAATAGCAATAGATTACTCTGGGTTGCAAATTTAGAACAATTTCTTTACTTCACTATTACACTAATGTTCATATAAAATATTAATTACACTAATATTAATTACACTACTATTATAATTCTGATAGGTACTTGAAAAACAGATTAATGTATTTATCCCATTCCTATACAATACCTCACTTATTTCAATACTTTACTTATTTCATAATAAAACTTACAGCCGTTTTAACATACATAGTAAAAAATAGTATTCCCGATGCCGAAACGGCCAACGGCGAAATGGCCACGCCGAAACGGCGACGTCCAGATGTCCTAAACCCTAGGTTTGGAGTGCAATAAATTACTATTCAAAGCTAAATTCTGGTAAGATTTTTGTTATTTATTATTTTGTAAAAATGATAAATGCGCACGTTATTAAACTTTAAAATATTATCCAAGGTATGCTTTTTAACGACTTCGAGTCAAAATCTGGACTAGGCACCCGAAAATGTTAATCCGTGGCTCCACCTATGTGCTAAGGCACGAGCCGCCACTGGCTCTTGCCATTCTTATACACCTTCTGTTGGTTTGAATGGAATAATATGGCTTAAGGTTTTCGTTTCCTAATTTCAATACAGATCAGGATAATGGATAAGTAAATTTCATCCAATCTAGGTTGAATATTTTTAAAGTAAATCATCTTAACCGGTTCTTATATAAGTAATCACTTTACAGGCTAGTTATATCTTCTAAATTCATCATTATAACAAGCACAGAGGATGTAAGTAAACAAGACCACTCTTCTACTCTTTGTGCATGTTTTTAATTTGCTTAATTTTCATGATTACATACCGTAGAGAAAAGAAATGGCAAAAACTTCTAAAATAGCACAAACAAATGTTACAAAGGTTCCTCCAAAATGGTCTACTAAGTCCAGGGTATATTGTCCTCCCTAAAATATAAAATTGGGAATAAATAGATAACATACGAGTAGTTATTTGTTCTTATTCAAAAAAATATGAAAATTTCATTTTTAATGATGTAAAAGTAGTCAAAAATGTATAGAAGATCATCATATAAAACAAATTTGAAAGCTTTGGAACTAGCACTAGAGACATCAAAAAAAATAAATTTGTCTAGTTACTTACTGGTGTTATATAAATCAGTCCAACAAAAAAAAGTACCCCGGCTGTGATGCCAGCTATTTTCCAATCAGCCAGGTTAAAAGAGTCTTTAATTGCTGTATTCAGTGTTGCGTGTGTAGCAACTAAGCTTCCAACTCCCAAAACGAATAGCATGAAGAAGAATGTAATGGAAAATAACTGAAAGTAATAAATTTAAAAACATAAATAGCATGAATAACAACAACTAAGTCTTTATAATTTAGATAACCAATTATTAATTCTTAATAAAATATCAAATTTTGATTTAATTTTTTTTCTTCTACTGATTGATTTATTGAACATACATACAGGCAGTATTGTTCCTAGGGATTTTTGAATTGTACAACTTTCAGGTCAAAATTGTACACTTTTACTTTCGATTGTACAACCACTAATTAATCTTTTTCTTTTTTATTGACAGATTATGGCCTACTACTTTCCCATGCTTAAAATTCTTCTTTTTTCCAGTTTAAAATATGGCGCCAAATTTAAACTTTTATTTTTTTATTAATTTTAATGCATGCTATTTAACAAATCGTAGACTTTTTGAGCGAAGAAAACCTTTTATATACCCGATTTTACATAAATATTTAGCAATTTCAAATTGTACAACATTTCTGTCTTTTTTCAAACGTGCGTACAACAGTACAACCGCATAACTGATTGTACAACTTTTTGTACAATTGTACAACCAGGAACAACACTGCATACAGGGTGTCCCAATAGTGTGTGGAAGTTCGATATATCCTATATTATAGAAAATATCAAACAATGTTATTTACAAAAGTTGTAGCTAATATTAATCTGCACATTTCAAAATTATTTTCGATTATACAGAGTGATCCATAACTTCAGAATTGATCAAACCTATGTTTTTTTAAATGGACCACCCTGTATTTAATTGTAAATTTGAATTCCCCTGACTTTGCCCTTCAAGAAAATGCCAACAGGTATGAAGTTATACTGGGTATTTTGGAAGTTTAAACCAATTTTATATGAAAATCGTACTAGGTTCAACCCTCTGTATATTTCAAAAGAAACAATCGAACATAAAAACTTTTTGATGAATCATTTTTAGTGATAGTCTACAACATGATTTTCTCAAATTTTTAAATGTAACACCCTGTATTTCATCTCACTACCAAAAAGTAATTATACGTTCGTTTGAGTTAAATATTGCCTATCCCTAAACACAATAGTTTAGCGAGATTCTTAGATGAAATGTTAAAAAGGGTTAATTATAACTAAATTTACAATGTAATTTGATTTAATCTTCTGTTAAATATTACTTACTAGTTACTAGTTAATCAGTTTATATTTTTAAGGTACCTGGTACAATTTTTTATTAACTGAATTTATTTTTGAGACCTTTACAACTTTATATATAAAATGCAATGAAAACGCTAACAGAACTTCAAATATTTTTTGTGAATTAGGTCAAGTGGGCTTTGAAATTCATGTCAAAAGAATAATTTGACAGTTCCGAATTGCTTAAATAAAAAAATAAAATTACGTTTAGTGTTCACAAGTATTTAAATTTATTGATTTGACTAATTTAAAAATGAATTTTGAAACAAATGAATTGACTGATTTTATGAGCAAAAATATCCTGATCGCCGACAACCTAGTAAAGAAATGTTTGAAAATCTGTTGGAAAGATTCAAACGTACAGGTAATGTAGCATATCAAAAAAATGATAGAGAAAAACAAACTTTAAATGAACAAAATGAACTCAGTATTCTACTTAGTGTTACCGAAAATCCAAACACCAGTAGACACATCATAGAAAATGAAATGGGAATAAGTAAATCATCTGTCAATAGGATACTTTTAAAAAATAAAGTACATCCATACCATATCCAACGTTATCAGGAGCTTCTTGAAAACGATTTTCAAAAAAGAATAGCTTTTTGTAAATGGGCAATAGAGAGTATTAATAATGAAAATGATTTTTTTGATTGTGTACTTTTTGGGGATGAATCAACAATTCACAAAAACGGTTTCGTCAATGGACACAATTTTCATTACTATTCCACCACCAATCCTTATGAGTTAATGACACATAACCAAACACGATGGTACATTAACATTTGAGGTGGTATATTAGGGGACTATGTCATAGGACCACATTTTTTTCATGGTCGTGTAACTGCCGAGGTCTACTTAGAGTTTCTGCAGAATCATCTACCACTACTATTGGAAAATGTTCCACTAAATATAAGACGCCGAATGTGGATATTACATTATGCTCAACCAGTTCGTAACTTTCTGAACCATAATTTTGAAAACAGGTGGATTGGAAGAGATGGTCCAGTTATGTGGCCTCCCTGGTCCCCTGACCTCACTAAAGTAGATTTTTTTTGTGGGGTCTTTTTCAAAACGAGGTTTATAAAACTAGTCCATTAACTAGCGAGGAAATGAAGGAAAGAATAAGACAAGTGTTCGCGAGCATAGATGTACAATGTTTGAAAAACGTTCAAAAATCATTTGAAGCTAGATTACAACATTGTATTGCAGTTGGAGGGAGTCACTTTGAGCAGCTTTTATATAAGCTTTTTTTTTCATTTTTTAAAATACTAATGTTGCATTCTAAAAAAATTAAAATAACTTATTTTTGGCTCATATTTTTTTTATTCAAATATAAAATATCTTCTAAACTGTTGTGTTTAGGGATAGGGACAAACGAACGTATAATTAAAGTACTTTTAGTTGAGATATAAAATACAGGGTGAACCTAACCTTAAAAGTAAAGAAAGTAAATTCAGTTGATAAATTGTAGCTAGGTACCTTAAAAATATAAACTGATTAAACATTAGGTTAAACAGGAGTTTAAATCAAATTACATTGTGAATTTAGTTATAATTAACCCTTTTTAACATTTCATCTAAGAATATCGCTAAACTGTTATGTTTACAGATAGGCAATATTTAACTCAAACGAACGTACAATTAGAGTACTTTTTAGTAGTGATATGAAATACAGGGTGTTATATTTAAAAAAATTGAGAAAATCATGTATCTGAGTTTTGACTCACCCTGTACACGTCTGTTGCGCTAGGAAAAAATTGTATATTCCTATAAAAGTAGAATATCATTAAAAATTATTCATCAAAAAATTTTGATGTTCGATTGTTTCTTTTGAAATATACAGAGGGTTGAACCTAGTACGATTTTCATATAAAATTGGTTTAAACTTCCAAAATACCCAGTATAACCTCATACATGTTGGTATTTTCTTGAAAATCAAAGTCAAGGGAATTCAAATTTACAATTAAATACAGGGTGGTCCATATAAAAAAACATGGGTTTGATCAATTCTGAAGTTATGGATCACTCTGTATAATTGAAAATAATTTTGAAATATTCATATTAATATTATCTACAGCTTTTGTTAATAACATTGTTTGATATTTTCTATAATATAGGATATATCGAACTTCCACAAACTATTGGGACACCCTGTATATAAGCGTGTCAAAAAACAACAGTAGAAAACATTATTTAATCTTGTTGCAGAAGTTTCTTTAAAAATTAGTAATAAAATACATAAATGCTTGAGAAATATTTTCATTACCCAAGGCACAAATGTAAATTTAGCAAGAGCATCTGGATAGGAAATGAAAGCCAAACCAGTACCCCCACCAGCAGAAATAACTTCACTTGGCGGTATATTCATTTCATGCGCCAAATTTCCAAGGATTCCAAAAATGGTAAAACCTGATAATAGCGAAGTAAAAGTATCCAACGTTGTAATCACAAGTGCATCTCTAAAAAAAGTTTGTAAATAAAATTGTGGAAGAAGAAGCTTTAAAATATATCGAAAACCTCTAAACATAGGTAATTTATTTAATATTACCTATTGATATTATGGTCAAATTTGTTATATGATGAAAGAGTAATAATTGAACCGAATCCAACTCCAAGCGAGAAAAAACACTGAGTTACAGCTGCATACCAAACCTAAAAAATATTTTCTTATTTAATTTTAGTTTATGCTGTATTAGGGAGAACCTAGGCTCCTAGGCAATACAGCACTTTTAAAATCTCATTACCTCAGCTTCTAAAAGCTTGGTAAAATCGGCTTCAATAAAATATAGCATTCCCTCAAGAGCTCCATCCAATGTAGCAGCTCTAATTAGGAGGATGAACATAATAACATAAGGAAATATTGCAAGAAAATATGAGGCTTTTCCTGAACTTTTAACTCCCCTAACTGATACAAGAAAAGTTATTATCCAAGTGAGTAACACCAAAATTGTTAGTTTCCAATCTGGTAATCCAATACCGTCGCTGATGTCATCTTTTTCTTTTAAAACTTCTCTCCTAAAAACAATACAATTTATATGAATTTTTGCTTGATATTTCCTCATTTTGGAGTAAATAAAATTTGATATCAAGGCACATACTTTGATTTTCTCTTACTACACGGAGAATGGTCGCACTGCGCAGCTTTCTGAGTGTCATAGAAAACTTCGCCATTTTGATACCTTATTACGTGTTGCCTACATCTTGGCGCAATATTTTTAATAGGTGCGTTTTCATCATCCGCTTCTGCTTCGGAATTGTCGGTTTTTTTGTTTTAATCTGACAGGTTGAAACGACTAAACCGACAATTCCGGAAGCAGAAGCGAATGATTAAAACGCACCTGATATTTTGCTTGCTGCTGTCAGTGTCAGTAAATATTATTTTTGGAGTCACAGTTTATTGCTAAAGAATCAGTTAGCTCACTCGGACCAGTTGAAAGTTCCATAAACTGAAACGTGATCAAAATGCCGACGCAGAGTGAGCGATCTGATTCTTTAGCTATAAACTGTGTCATAGGAATTAAAATGGCCGCGCCCTATGTTTGGCGTGTAGGACCTCTCTCTTGCCCCGTATAGTAATCAAAGTATGTGGTATCAAGGCAACAGAATTAAAATACGTTTTATTGTTTTTACCTAAAGTACATTTCAGAAGAAGATATCGTGTCACCAGTTATAGTTTCATTACTTAATTGGTCTATACAGGATATGTTTCTTGAAGTAAGATAGTCGTCCCAATTATCTTGGCAACTAGCCCATGGAAAGTTTGAAGTAAACGAATTAAATAAATAAACTAGAGTTATCGCCATAATTATACAATAATATGAGGCGACGCAAAAACTTCCAATGATTTGACCATAACCAATTCCTAAATAAAAAAATGTTATCCTTGATTAGAGCAAATTTGTTTTGTTTTTACCTTTCAGAACGGGTGATAATTTTGTATACATTTTGATAGAGCCTCTGCTTGAAAACTGCCCTAATGCCATTTCCATATAGTACATTGGTCTTCCAATCAGAGTCAAAATAATTAAATACGGTATTAAAAACGCACCTCCTCCATTTTTATTAGCAATAAATGGAAACCTCCAAATATTTCCTAATCCTACAGACATGGCAATACAAGACATTAAAAATTCTGTACTGTTTCCCCATTGTGAACGTTCTTGCGTCTTTTCTTGACAATCTGTATCCTAAAAAAGAAATTTGGATGATTTTTAAATTTTCTGCTGATAATAGAAATGTTAAATAAAACTTAGGTATTTTATCAAAATATTCATCAGTTGAAACCAACCTTAAAGAAGGAAAAGATAGAGCAATAATAATACATGATCCCAAATAAGAAATTTATTTACTCTATAAAATGTAGACATTTTCACTAAATAAATTAAATGGTTTTGTTTAAAGTTTTTTCAGATTTTTTTCAATAAAAAAGAGTGTTTACCTAGGTGTTTTATTACAACTAGTGTTCGCCCAGTGGTCGAAAAGGAGTATCATAATGGTATTTTTCAAAGAACGTTCAGACAATATAATACCGTTCCAATAATTAATTAATTCATATCCGTTATAAAATAAATTGTACACCGAGAAAAAACTTTGCTAGTGGGTATTAAAAATTTAATACCGGTTATTAAATTTTTTAATACTATATAAGAGAGCTAAACTGATTAATAGCACATATTAAACTTTTGTTCTTGGATCAGTGTTGCTACCACAAGCAAACAAATAAAAAACTTTGCTTATCATTAGTAAATTAATTTGATAACAGTTATTAAACAGTTTTTAGGAGGAATTAAATACTTTAATAGACGTTATTAAACAGGATAATGAAAGATACGGAACAGCTTAATAGCATTTAGTTAACAAATATTGCTAATTTAATAACTGTTATTAATGGCTTTATTGATGGATATTTGCAGGTCCTAATTGTCTATTAAACCACTTTAATTATAATTATTAAATAGTTTTATAACTAACTATATAAAATATAAACCCCATATAAACTTTAAGTTAGTACACCACTCTTTTTTATTTTTAGTTTAAGAAAAAATATTCACATAGATAAAAGTTATACGACTGTGGGTCAATTTTTACAAAACTTGGTTTAGTTTTTATAGAAGAAAATAAAAAAATTTCAATTTCCCTAATTGTTTTAGACAAAAAAATCCAAATCAAATTTTGAAAATCTAGTTCCAGAGAAACAGAAATTTAACATCTACTAATATAACACGACTTATACCACACAAGTACAATGAATTCTGTAAGGATAGAGTTGTTTCCTCATTACATGCTATGACGCGAATGATTATTGAGCTTGTAAATCTACATCAGGTAGTATGGAGGGGATAACAATCGTTAAAATTTACTTGTGGTTATTGAACATTTAATTATGGTTAGCAAACTGCTATTAATAATAAATTATTTAAAGTTGAAGGTGGTAGCCATGTGTGAGTTATAAGTTCAAAAAGGTAAATCAAATGAGGGTGGTCCTTAGGATCTCACAAGAGATCCTAAGGACCACCCTCGTTTGATTTACCTTTTTGAATAAATTCTTTATTGCCCAACAGATATAACATCCAAAGATAGGACAAAATATAACATTAATAGATTTTTAAGAGTTAATATTAAAGTACTAAGATATATAATAATAACAAAATATATATTTATAAAGCTAAAAAAAAAAGTGAAAATAAAAATTATAAATTGGATTGACTCTGCGCAAAACATGTGCAAAAAAATGTATATTACAATTCAGAGATAAATACTAAGATGGTAATAAATAATAATTACAAAATAAATATAAAGCTTAAAGTAAAAATTTAAATTAAAAATTGAGAGCGCTATGCGCAAAACATGTGCAAGTTTTTCAAAAAATATATCACAATTCAAACATAAAATATTAACATTTTGGCACATAATATATATTGGTGATTTCATTAGCAGGTTAGTCCTGGGAATAGGAAGAGAAAACGTGTTGGATGTCCGTGCATTTTGTCTGTTACTAAAAAGTAAAGTCCTTCGAGTAGAATAGAACAATCAATTATAAAGTATTTTATAAATTGTAGAAATTGACATTAATTTTCTTCTATTTTCAAGGGATTGTACATTATATATATTTCGCAACACATTTTCATCAAATCCTTGGGGAGATAGATACCCCTAACCTTGTAATTCAAAAACTTTAAAAATTTGCGTTGCACCCTTTCAATGCTGTTCTTCTGCAACTCTGTCTTCGGATACCAAATCAAAGAAGCATATTCCAACTTGGAACGAACTCATGAAAAGTACAGTGACTTTAAGGCAGCTTCAGTTCTAAACTTTTGACAATTGCGAGATAAAAACCCTAACATTTTATTTGAAGATTTAGTAATAGTATTAAATAGTATTAAAGAGTTTAATTGGCACCATTAAATGAGTTTAATAGTAATCAGAAAACTAGTGGGTATTAAAGTGTTTTCTAATATGTTATTGGTTATTAAACAATTGACTAATTACAGCTGTTTCAATTTAATAAATTTCCAGCAACATTCGATTTTTTTCTATTAAACATGTTTAATAAACCTTGTTTTCTCGGCATAGCGGTGGAGGGGAGGTATAGTAACGAAAATCGGATTGTCTTACACTTTAGTTTTCTATTAAAAAACCATGGGTGGAGAGAGTATGGGTAGGGTAGTGTGGATCGAAAATCTCCAGAAACCAAAGATGAGGTGGGAAAGAGTGTAATGGTAGATGATAGCTGAAACGGAAGTGTGAAGTTAAGTTTATTTATTTATGACTTGGTTGTATTCAGTTCCGTTTTCATTTTTAATTTGCTTGATCTAGTTGGCCTCTGTAAGCTTATTTTCTCATTATAAATTTGTGATTCTGAGCTGTTATTTTGTGCTTTTCTTGCTGTTATTTTGTTCTTTTTCTATAAATATGCCTGGTAATTATGTAAAATGTTGTGTATCGAATTGATTTGATGTGGTCAACAAGATGCATCGCTTGCCCCATTCTACGAATTCACCTGATTTATTTGATCTTGGGCACTTGTTCGTTGTCCAAAATTTAATAATAAAACAAGACAACACATTTATTCCACCTTTGTAGTATGTCATAAAGATTTTGAAGAGATTTTTAAAATAATTGTATCTCGCCGAGGTCTAACACTTGAAGCATTCCCAACGCTATTCCTCCCAGAAGTTCAGGGAGCGAGCTGTATCATAGAAGAAGAAGTAGACTATTAATATATGCTGTACTTTTTTTCGAGAAGAAAAGTTAGTACTCGACTAATTTATTTTATACTTATACTGCGTATTTTCTTTTTGTTGACGTTTGGGGTTGCAGAACTGTATCGTAGGAGAAGAAGCAGACTAAAAGTATATGTTGGACTTCTTTTCGAAAAAATTAGTACTTAACTCATTTGTTTTATACTTGTAGTGTGTATTTTCTGTTTCATGACTTTGGGGGCCAAAGCCTGATATCCAGCTACTTTATACCTATATAATACAGTTTTCATACACATAATATATATTTTTTTTAATATTGGTTTTGTATTATATATAATTTAATAAATTAATTTTTTTAATTATGCTTGTCTTTTTATTTAAAACCTGTTAGTCAAGTTAAGAATGGTTTACGCAACTCAATGTTTGCTTTATTATAGCGAATATCGCTATAATAACGCAAAAATGCAGTTTGTGTGAACAAATTTTAATTTGACTAATAGTTTTTATTGCCACTAATTTTTACTATCACACTTGAATAGCCCCGCGCTTTTCTTCTCTTCTACTTTTTTCTTCTTTCATCTGTCCTATTACCCAATAAGAACTTACTTGAAAAATTAACCACGTCCGCCAGGTGGCGCAGAAATTTTATCACCGTTTTCTAACATGGGAAATAAATACCGTTCTAAGGGTAAGTGTGATCGCCCATGATGGCCGATCGTGTCTATGAGCCATTAAAAATACCTGTCAAAGAGTTTAATAAAACTGGCTTGAATACAGTACATTGCTTTTATGTATTACATAAATCAGAGAAATGACGCAGAACATAAATTACTTTACCAAACTACATACATTTTTGTATTAATTATATTTTAGGTTAGATATTTTTCAATTACCTGATTGTACGTTCTTAAAGTTATTCCGGCTAAACAAGGAAGTAACCTAATGACTGATTTGATTTTAAAATAATTGTAATGAGTAAAACCGATATGTTTATACAATCAATCATGGTAAATTATACTTTTTTTTATCAAAAATAATGAAATGATATATGGATTTTAGTTTGTTTTTAAACCATAAACAAGGAGCTATGACTGGTTCTTATTATAAGAGAAACATCCAGATTCAAATCCCATTTGGATAACGCATCCCTTCTTTTGATTTGTCTTTGCCATTTAGGTGCATAGAGTACTTACGCTACTAGTTCGACTTGTATCATTTTTTGTAGATGAAGCCTTTTCTAAGTCTTTTGGTCCTTTTTGGAATCCTAGATTGTCAAGTCCAATCTGGAAAGAAAACATAATATATGGAAAAATTTCTAAAACATATAAACGGAGAATTTTTAAATTTAAAAATGGCGACACAAAGATAATGTAAGAGACGCTTTTAAATTAGTCGATGTCGCACCGTCTAAAGAAATTATGTAAGTTTCAGGATAAATGTCCTATAAATATTATTTTACTAACTGAATTGACAAAGAAACTGCATTATGAAATGAAGAAAGCTGTACTCGAACTGATCAGGTAGATCGACAGAACTGTCTGACACAACTGACTAACAAAAACTAGACATAAACAATGTGACAAGTTATTTGGAAGAAACCACCGTTGAAGAAAATTATGTAGAATACTTTTAATATTTTTTAACCGACTTCAATGTATGTTCAGCGATAATTCTTTAACACGATGTCCGATTTCAATAATTCTTGTTTTGTTAGAAAGGAGCTACTTTAGGGGTGGTCCCATATAAATTTGGTCAAAATCTATTAATTGGGTTCATGAGAAAATCCTCAAACCCTTCATTTTTTATGTATGTTTAGCGATAATGCTTTACCACCTTGTTCGATTTATATGATTCTTTTTTTGTTAGTAAGGGGGTACCTCAGGGGCGGTCCCATATAAATTTGGTTAAGATGTGGTGATGGCATCTGCACGTTTTTGAAGTCGGTTTTTTTAAATTTTTAATTTCTAATACTTGTATTTCGTACAGTGACAACTTTTTATTAATCATTACATGACATTCAACATTTTTATTTCTATGGTTACGACCCATAACACAATGTAGTCTATTCTGTAGCTCTTAGTGACGTTATATTTCAACCATCAGACGTTTTGAAGAGCTGAGAGGCAGATCTTAAATTCCCCTGAAGGATGCACAATGGGACTATTGAGCCCTTAGTGACATGGAGGGTCACCCCTCCTTACATGTACAGATGACAAATAGTTATCCCCTTTGCTGAAATCTTACTTCATTCCTAAATCAAACCATTAGAGGAAATAATATGTCTATTTAGTTCTAATATCTATTATTCTATCAGTAAATAAACCTTCCAATAATTTCTTGGTATAATAAAATATTTATTATCCAGAGTGTATAATATTTATTTTTTAGCAACTAGTTGTTACACTTAACCACCAAGAATATTTGGTTGCTTCCAGATAATTCTGAATCCACTTTTGTAACCACTAGTTGTTACAGATTTTACTTGAGAATTCAGATTTTCTCAAAGGGTTAATAGAACAACTGACCTTGATCGTAGCAACTTATTCGGTAGCATAACTGTATGATACAGCATAGACTAATTTAGCCCCAGTAAAGGGACACTTGAACAAAATTGGCATGTACAATGGGGAACTCATGTGCCGACTATGTCACAAGAAACCAGAAACGGCCAAACACATACTGTGCGAATGCGAAGCTCTAGATCGCAAAAGACAGGCTGATCCAACAACGTATAGAACCCACTCACCCAAGGATCTGTACAAACTTGTACAAGGTACAAAGGTGATAGAGTGGGTGCTATGAACTAACATGGGGTAAAACACAATAAGCCAATAGGCTTCAGTGTTATTCGGAGATACATAGTAAGACGAGCCCAGGAAAAAAAAGACTAATTTAGCAATCGGGTATACCAGAATAGCTACTTGTGTCAAAGTTGTTACATGCAGTTGCTAAGAAAGTGGTAAGATAGCAAGTGGTTAGAAAGTTGCCAGCTAACAACTATAGTTACAGAATAGACCCCCAATATACCATCTCCATCTGCACGACCAGAGGCCAGAGGCCGTCCTGAGTTCTATTTCTTTTAACGTGGATTGTCTGACCTCTCCATACCCTGTCAAGATTATACCGGGGACATCATATTTTAAAACAGGACTAGAACAGACTAGAGGTGATGCCTCGAGATGTAACTTGGTATAAAGGCCCACTTTAACATTATTGTCTTCTGAGGAAAAAAAATACTCAATCTAAAATCCGTCATAACGATTACGCGCAAAACTTAACAAGTCCAACATCTGAAATAAATGAGTTATTACGCTCAGACTGCTTTAAGAACAAGTCCTCAACAATTTTACACCAAAATTTGACAAAATCGTGTTATAAAGGTACTATCAAACTCCCATTGTTCAACAAAACTAAACAAATTACATTCCCATAAATGTACATGCTATTCTCCATATCATGGAGCTGTCAGAATACGCACACTGCAGAGGGTGCGAACAAAAAGATGAGACCATCGAGCATAATCTTTACGATTGCTCGACGGTCTTATTTATTAGAAAATTTGTTTTCGGCGAGTATCGGTTAACACCGGCCGATATAAAAGAAGCACCTCTTGGTGACGTTATCAACTCTATTAAATCTGTAGGCTGGCTCAGGAGCTAGAACGTGCCTATCATCTCAGGAGGATGCACAATAGGCCTAATAAGGCCTAAGTGCCATGGGGGTTACCCATCCTCCACACGTTACAGATACGAATGTACATGCTATTTTATAACAAAACTCGACAAATATCCATATGTTATTAAATTAGAAATAAACTCCTTGTCCGCAAAATTAAACAAGTATTAATGGCCCTGTATTAATATTTGTGTAATAATTTGTAGCAAAACTTAACAAGTTCCATCATTTCAAGCAAAACTGAACAAGTCCAAAATGTTTCTTCGTATATCTCAGAAAATGCGGGCGATTTATGAAAAATTTTTGGTATTTAAAACTCAAAATACATCGTAAAACTATTTTTATTAAAAGCAAAATTTTAATTAAATAAGAAATCACAGTAGGGAAAATATTACTTTTCTGACATATGAGTGAGTTATGCTGGATTTGAGTTTTGCGCACAAGCTCCTCATATATTGTAGCATAAAATGGAAAAGAGATCTAATCTAGGTCTAACCTTGGACAACAAAAAACTTCTCACTAACATACATGAGAGGGAAGTTATAAATAAGGCCACGGAAGGAACACTGACATTTCGAGAAAAGATGGGGTAACCCGAATAATCTGTAATAGATGTATTCAGCAATAAGGAAATTAATATACACTAATATCTCAAAGATACGAAGACTAGTCTGTGTATGCATCAAAGGTACAATGAAAACATGTTCTACCGCTACAATGGAGTTGATGCTAAACTTTATACCTCACGCCAAAAGAGTAATCGAACGGAAGCTATTAAATCTAGGACCAAGGATATTTTGGATATGTCCAAGGACGAAATGAAAAGTACAGTCTTGTCAAAAACTTCAAAATCACACAGCTAGGTTACAAGAAAGAATGTTTCCAAGAATCAATCGTGTTTGCTGCCGAAAAGTATGCATGCAGTTCCGTGGTATACGGATGGTTTAAAAACCACAGAAGGACTTGGACTAGAAGTGTATGGGCCTTAAGTATGGCCTCTTGAGTAAATACTCAAGTAAAAACCCAAGCGAATACTTTAGTAAATACCCAATTAAATAACCGAGTAAATATCCAAGAAAATTTCCAAGAAATTACCCAAGAAATTACCCAAGAAATTACCCAAGAAATTACTCAAGAAAATATCCAAGTAAATATCCAAGTAAATATCCAAGTAAATATCCAAGTAAATATCCAAGTAAATACCCAAGTAAATACTCAAGTAAATACTCAAGTAAATACTCAAGTAAATACCCAAGTAAATACTCAAGTAAATACTCAAGTAAATACTCAAGTGAATACCCAAGTAAATACCCAAGTAAATGCCCAAGTAAATACCTAATTTATTACAATAGAAAATAACCAATTAAATACCCAAGTAAATACATAATTTAATACCCTAGAAAACAACCAAGTAAATACCCAAGTAAATACCCAAGTAAATACCCAAGTAAATACCCAAGTAAATACCCAAGTACATACCCAAGTAAATACTCAAGTAAATACCCAAGTAAATACCCAAGTAAATACCCAAGTAAATACCCAAGTAAATACCCAAGTAAATACCCAAGTAAATACCCAAGTAAATACCCAAGTAAATATCCAAGTAAATACCCAAGTAAATACCCAAGTAAATACCCAAGTAAATACCCAAGTAAATACCCAAGTAAATATCCAAGTAAATACTCAAGTAAATACCAAAGTAAATACCCAAGTAAATACCCAAGTAGATATCCAAATACCCAAGCATCTTCTAGGTGTAAATTCACGCCATTCAGAAGTGTATCCAGTCTAACATCGATAATAGCTATAGCAGACAAGAGGATATCATTATGTCCAATAGGTAGTCAAACAGCAGTAAAAGTGCTGAGCGAAAAATTATCTTTAGGTGCATAGAAAAACACAATGAGCTAGGCGAGAAAAAAACAGTTGCTCTAGCTAGGATCCTGGGTCATAATGGGGTATAGGGTAACAAGATTGTAGACAGTAGCGCATGTAAAGAGGCTCAAGCACTCTTTGTGGGACTTGAACCGCTTTGCTGTATGAGCTGTATTACAATATTAGGAGAGATTAAAAAAGATTTAGGTAGTAGAAGAGTGATCCATAAAAAATATTTTTAAAGTAGGCCATGACTAACAAAAACAGAAATACGAGGAATGTTTGTGATAATCGTGTATGCCGTATGACTCTGAATTAAACCCAAACTGCCATTTTAAAAAGAAGAAGAATCGTACGCTCCGATATTCGTGACTTTTCTCATGACCTAATTTCGAAATATTGTTTGTGGATTACACTATATAAAGATCGCATACATTATAAGAAATATAACAATGGTTTAAAAAACTAACGAATTAAAACATATTAACGGTAAAACTGTAATTTATTTACATTTAATAGATCGAAGATAAAAATTAAATTTTATTAAGAACGTAACTATATGATTAAAAAATTACAGAGTACGCCAAACGCACCTTTCAATACGAGGATTGATTGTCTGTTAAGAACCGGAAAATTATAGTAATACAAGATTTAGATTTTTCGGTAGAAATTAAAGATCCTATAAATAAAAACTCATCAAAATAAAGCCAAAGTAATTATACAATATTGATCC